TCTCGCACGTGCATAGAGAATATCCCTGCAAATTTTCAGCTTTCTACGTTGCCTGGTTCGCGAAATTTTTTCCCGCCAACAAATTTCCTTGGGGGTCCCGCACGCGGGGTTTTAGACGCGTATGGGGAAAGATCTTAAAACGGGAGGATGACACAGGGGGTAAGAACATATGTCCGAAGTTTCAGCATCCCAGCGCATCAAAAACGCATAAAAATTGCATGAAATTTTGAGGCATTAATCGGGCCAGTTATTTGAGCAGTTGCAATGAGGCGTGCTCCTAACTTCTGTTTGAGCAAATTGCCGTTCGATGGAGAGAGCGATGAAATTTGGGCGCTGCTCTTCGCGGGTGTTGAGAGACTGGCGACGGCGCATCTGAGCTCGGAAAACGGGGTGAGTGAAGAATGAGTGCTGCTGCTGCCTGTAGCCGGATGCAAAAGTGAGACGCGAGAATTCGGAAAGGAGGATCGTGCTGCTGATGGCGGCATTCGCATAAGTGCAAAAAGTACAGCCATCTCCCCATACAACTACTACATTAGGGATGCAAGATCCACTTTCGCAGCAAAAAAAGTATGAATCAGTGCTGCATTTCGTCGGGCTACCCTGAAGCAAGCGATGAATTGTCGCGCATTCAACTCGCAAACATTTTTGGGTCACTAGGCGCTGGCCAGAAGAACGAAGCATGACCTGCCTTCCCGAATAGCCAGGAGGTCCGGTTGTATGTGAGGGCTCGCAGTACTGTCTAGCGAAAATGCATGACAGCTGTCTCGCTCTCAGCTTTTCATCGTTTTTGGTTGTATGTGTGTGTGTGCGTCGCTTGGCGAACCTGGATGATGATGAAGGGAGAGAAATCAAGAATGTCGCAGTGCGGTGATTCAGCCGGCAGGTGCTCCATCACCTCATTCTGCTGCTCGCTTCTTATCGGCGGCGCCATTCTGTTCGCAAACATTACTTTAATTTTTTCTGCTCACATTTTGATTGTGCTTACCAAATTAGCTCGCGTACAGGTTTCCGATACAGAAAAGTGGCAATGACAATGACTGGGCAGTGGGAAGACGTGGACGAACCTTCAAGTATGTAAAAAAGGCACGGTGCAGTATTTTGTTCCGCTAAACTTGGGTGCTACGGGACAGTGTCAGCCTGAGCTGCGGCTGGTAATCCAGTAAAGGTGAAGCAGCTGGGCGTACAAAAACCAAATGTACACCGAGAAGCAGAATGTGCGGAAAAAAAAAAAAAAAATAGACGAAACCCAGTAGCGACGCGCATCAGTGTTCTGGGTGTGGTTACTCGTTTTTATTGTGACATGAAATTTGCCATATCAACAGTGCGAGATATCAACATCCGTCAAAATGCTGCTGCACTTTCTTACAAAATTCTAGACTTTTTTTTGTCTCTGTAATTATCGAGAGAGAAGGGTTTCACCGTATTAACTTGAAATCATCGCCCCTGGAACTCACGTACGGACACACAAGAAATATATGCAAATTTTTTGACAGGAAAGCGGTCTCGGGAACCAGACAAAGTAGGAGGCTGGAACTTTATAGGGATATTGTCTGTCTTTTGCAGAGATATGTTAGCTAAGGATTTCCAATTCAACTATCGTGCACGCCTACGCCGCACGTATAATTAAATCAAATCTTACAGCTGGCACTGTGCCAACTCTACCAGTCGGGAAATGGTAGCTGAAAATTTGAAATATTCATCATCCATGTGGGAAATCATATACCTCAAACGAGTTGTGATTTGTACTTGCGCCATGACTCAGGACAATTCAAAGATATTCCAACGAAATGGCCGTTTCGCTTATCAGAGAGACTGTAAAGCTGTAACTTTGAAGGATATTCCTATTCCACGTGTAGATTAAAGCTAAATTCGCTGCACCAAGTTTTATCCTAAACTGGAAATTGAGCG